AAAAAAATCTAGCACCAGTACCCCACAAACACCCCTTTACCAGAAGCTGCTTTATGTTGTTGTTAAGTGCCTTAGAGTAAATTCCGACCCATAGCGACCCAGTGTGTAAAGGGTTTTCTGGGAGCAGCTGGTGAACGTGAACCATCGGCTTTGCACTTCAAACCAACTTTGCAGTCCAGCACATTAACCCACAGTGCCACACCAGGACTCCTCCTACTCTTAGGGACCCTATGAAAGGCCACCTGTCTCTGCTATGTTTACAATGATTCCCTTGTTTGATCTTATTGTTGCAGCCCTGGTGTCAGTCCATCTCCTGGATGATCAATCAATTATAATCTTTGCCTTGTGATTTAATTAAAAGGTCTTTAGGCCTTCTCAATTTAAAGAGAAAGGAAAGAAGAGGTCTGATGGCTGCAGAAGGCCACCTTTTTAACAGCTACTTTTAAATGTTAACTCGGTTACCATGGAAACTTGTATTCAGTAAGGGAGCTATTTTTAAAACTGAAATCTCAAATCTTTGCAAGTGCTTCTATTTCATTTTTCATTCATGCATGGGAGCTTGACACAGTTTGCAAATTATTTATTAAATTACAAACTAATGATTGTTTTGAGCTAATTAAAGATTTATTTTTTTTAACAATTCAGCCATTGGTTTTGTTTTTATTCCGAATGGTCTCTCCACATGCATATAGAAAGATGGCTCAAAATGTTTGATAAGATATCTATCTTATGTTTCCATTTCTTTGAATTTTGATTTTTTTTTCTAGCACCACTTAACTGGTAGCATAGTTGTTACAAGTTAGGCTGCTAACTGCAAGGTCAGCAGTTTGAATCCACCAGCTGCTATGAGGTAGGAAAATGAGGCTCTGTTTCCTGTAAAGATTTACAACCTCACAAACCCAAAATCAGAGGAAGACAGCCATGTATGCATGGCATTAGATGTGTGTGGCATGATAATTTTTCCTGAATGACTTTAAGACTGAACTCAAGAAACTTGAACTCACTGAGGCTGGGAGTCATTTGTTTCCTTTTTATTTAATATCCGCCTGTTGGGCTTTTCACATACTAATTTAGCAAAACTTATTCTATTCTACTTGGAGTCCTGGTATGGTGTTGTGGGTTAATGCACCAGACTGCAAATCTGTTTGAACTGCAAAGTCAGTGGTTCAAGCTCACCAACTGCTCCTCGGAAACCCTATACAGGGTTGCTATGGGTCAGAACTGACCTGACGGCACTTACCAACAACAACATTCTATTCTACTTATATGTTAGACATGTTATCAGAAGGGACCAGTCCCTGAAGAAGTACATCTTGCTTGGTAAAGTGAAGGGTCATCAAAAAAGTAGAAGGCCCCCAAGACGTCTATTGGCACAGTGACAGCACCAATGGGCTCAAGTGTAACAATTGTGAGGATGGCGCAGGACCAGGTACCATTGCATTCTGTTGTGCATAGGGTCGCTATGGATCAGATCTGACTCGATAGCTCCTGACAACATTCTACTCAGCATTTGAGGTGTTGCAGATGACCTGAGAAGTGAGTAATTAGCAGTGAATCTCTGCCTCTGGCTATGCTATCAGGGTGGTTTTACATAACTTCAGTCATTTATTTTATTTGTCCCACCAAAGATCTCAAACTGCTGTATAGAGTTAGCTCTTCCTTTGTCTACCCATCTTCTTTCCTCCCTTTTGTGTCTCCCTCAGTCTCTCTACCTCTACCTGTCCAAATCCCCCTCACACCTTCCCCAAACACACATGAATGAACTAATTGACACAGAAGCTATACTATGAAAGAAAGATAGAAATTGGAAGAGTTGGAGGAGACTAACTTTGAGCAAAAAGTTCATTAGATTACCAAACTCGAAGGCATTAGAAAACAAACATTAAATTTAGAATTTGATGTGAGTAGAGTAAGCGAAATATTTTTATGTAAATGTTATGTGATCCATTCAGTGTTTTTTTTAAGGACTAATCTCACAGCATTGAGCAAGACAGTAGAAGAGAGGAATGTGTGCTATTAATAGTGAAGATGTTTATCCCTGACTCTCTTTCTTTACTGTAAATAATCTTTAATCCAGATGCAGCCTGTTCTGAAAAATGAGTTTCTTTCATCTTTCCAATAATTTTTAAATCTAATATTAAGATATTGAAGATGGTGTTAAGTATCATCAAATCGACTCTGACTCATAGTGACCCTGTGTATGGTTTCCCAGGAGCAAGTGGTGGGTTTCCACTGCCAAGCTTGTGGTTAGCAGCCCAGTGCTGATCCTACCACAGCACTGCCACCCCAGGCCTCCAGATGGAACTACAGGGGAATATTTATGCTCAAGAGGGTATCTACTCTAGGAAGTGTCAGAATCTAGATTCACAATAATCCTGACTCTGGAACGAAAGCTTTAATATATGAAATTCAATAGTATAAAATTAAAAACCATGCTTAAGGTTCATGTCATCAATTACTATGAAGATGGAGACAAGATCTGAGGATTTAAACTGATCATAAATAGAGATTTGTAAATCAGTGCTGTGTTATTGTTAAGTGCCATCAAGTCGGTTCCTATTCCTAGCAACCCTGTATAGGATTCCTGGGGCGCTTGCAGGTCCTCTGGCGAATTTGAACCACAGACCTTTCAGTTCAAACTGACCTTGTGGTTCAGTGCATTATCCCACAGTGACAAACCAGGATTCCAGTAAGTGCTATAGTTGTAGACGATTGAATCAGGGGCAGCTATTGTCTACTATAGTAATACTCTGCCCTATGCAGGCCACGTCTGCAATATTGTGTTCAGTTTGGGCATTGCACATTAAAAAGACATTCATAAAAAAGT